AACCATTTGGTATCGGCAAATTTTCATTTATGTTGCGCTGCAATGAGAAGAGAATAAATCTTGTTTTCAGTAAATGTTATATTAATAAGGCGATATTAATATATTCTTCGACGTGCTCATAAACTTACACCAACCTGTAATAACAGACACATACGTTTCAGTGGCTGTAAAAATTCACTTTTATTAGTTGATATTAAGGACGTCTTTTTTCATTATGAAGATAACAGTAATCAAAACGTGCAAATAAGTTTCTCGCCTTCACAAATAACTGATGTAATATTACGAATATTTTTCTATCAGAAACGTCCGATAACTCAATAATATATGCAGTTGTTAGACTTTGTATGTTTTTAGATGTTAAAATTAAACTAAAACCTTCCTGTTAGACGTATAAGTGGTTCAGTTGTAAGCTTTAGGTCTTATAATACAAAAATTCATAGTTTGGTCACTGTATTGGCTATAGCACATATAAAATGTTTTGCAGCTTTGTGCTTAAAATGCATGTATAGTTATAAATTAGCAACCGAAAAAGACGAAATGTCGTTTTCCAGAAAGAATACATAAACTATTTGAGAGTCGTTACGTTTTTTTGCCTTATGACCGACACTTTTTATAAAATCACAAACCTTGACAAATTCGGGCTTCAGATGTTCCTCAGTCATCAAATCCACTTTGATGAGGTTCAAGTTAACGCCAAGTTCCTTGGCAGTCATTAACACTGCCCGCGAAGGTGAGCTGGCAGTAAAATAATAAAAATCAATTGGATCACCCATCGGTTTTCGGAGGCACGAGAGACAATCAAATGACATAACAACGTCTTAATAATATTCTATTAAGTTCATCAAATGTTCTTTGTCGTCAGTTTACTGTCTGGTAGATGAGAACTTATGTCATCCACCTTTCTCTGCGGGTTGATATAGGGAGTTTATTTTATGTTCACTCCTGTTGAGCCAGTACCTCAAACACGTCGTCTGTAATGCGACCGGAAATGACGTTTTCTGCTTCGGCCTTCGCTTTCACCGATTTCGATTTGAAGCCAATGAGCAAAGTTTATAGCCTAGAAGAACCGTGTTTATGGGTTACTTTGTCTATAACTTTTATGAGTACTGACTCATTAGTAGTTAGGGTCGATTCTAAGATTGAAAAAAAAAAAAAGAGTCGAATGACCACGAATGAGTTGAATGTCAAAAACAATATTTAAATAGTTTCAAAGTGCCTGATATAGTCTCGTTAAATTTGAATTGGTTATTAAGTGCTTGAAATAGCCTCGTTAAAATTTTTACTAAGCGCCTGGATTAATCTTGTTATGTTTAAACTGGCTAGTAAGTACGTGGAATACTCTTGTTATATTCAAACCTGTTACTAAGTGCTTGAACTAATTTCGTAGCATTAAACTGGTTACTGGAATAATTCAGTTATTTTGACATTGCTTGTCGGCTTCCTTAAATTTTTATTTTTTCTTGTATAACGCATATGACCTGTTTCATGTAAAAATGCTTTTAACTGTTGCTTGTTGAAACTTTCAATGATCTTGTGTGCAATTATTAGACACACTCGCATGGGGTTTCGTGCATTGCAACACGTGAACTTTATTCTCTGGGACAAGAATATGAATCGCTAAATAGTACTAATATTTTTATCAACTTTTCTTAAATTCAAAACAATTCTGAAAACCATACTCGAAAATTAAATTTTCTAAATACATTTTTTAGTGTTAAAATTCTTTGTGCCTTTAAGTCAGCAACCTGAAACTCTGTATTGTGTACAGCTATTTAATTAAACAACGTTATATTATTTTCCCATATGACATCATGAGGGCTACGTTTTTAATTTCATTGTTGTCGATTTTTCAATCCTCTGTCAAAAATTAATATTTTAAAGTAATTGATCCGGTATTTTCAACTATAGTGAGGTAACCGGTTGTTAATTAAGAATACAATAATTGGAGACTGAATATATCATACACAACCAAAATTAAAGATACAAGACATAAAATGTTTAATAAGGAGCAATAACAGATATATTCATTAAACTAACAAAGTGTAAAACTAAGCTCTTGAATTTTAAGATGGACAACGTGAATTTATCGATACTCTTACTTGACGCTAGTATAAACACAGAGACATTCCACAGAGCAAAAACTGACCAATAAACACCAAGCAAAATTTTATTGAGGACTATGAACCAGGTGATTGTGTCAAACAACTAATTTCAGTCAGAGCTATTTATAATTCTTCGTCTATTAGAACTTTTCAAAACGCAATGTCACCCATATCACGGTTAACGACAATAAGACACTCGAGATTCTGTCTTCTTTTTCTTCGCAATTGAGTGGCTTACCCATTCCAAGAGTTATCTAGAAAATACGGTCACATGCAAAGAAAGAAAGAGATCTTCCTAAGAAACAGTTTCAATGAAAAGGATTAGAGAGTTCAAGGTGAGGCACGCCCTATTCGTTTATAACTTTAAAACTAACTGTAGAGGCCTCTTTAAATGAGCATAAACTTTAAAGTATTTTAATTTATGATATATATACATATCCCGCTTCTATTTTTAGGCAGCAAAATATAAGCTACAACGCAATCTGATACAACAGAATTGTAGAGTTAAACCTGGAAGCGCTAGACTCCACGACTCTCACATGAAAATTGTGAGCCACCAGAGAGTGGAGGTAAGACATAGAAGTAAAAGAATTTTTAACAAATAATACAATTATAATATCCTTTAAAAGACAAAAATATCATTTGTAACTTTTATGTTATTGTTTTTAATTAAGCAAAAAGCTACACAAAACCCAGTTTCTAGCGGTGTAAGTTCGAAGACATACCGCTGTGCTACTGGGAGGCTAACTTTTATGAGCCATATATAAGTTATAGTCCACATTTGAGACAGCTAACTGAAATTTAAATGTTGGTTTTACAACACTGGCTCATGTTCATGATCCTGATAATCCGAATATCATAACATTAACATTCCATTATTAGCTTGCCTCTCCTACAAGTTCAATATATCACCATGCTTAGTCTATATATTTTTAAATTTACACCACTGCAGCTTACACAAAGTGTTTGATCAAACTGCAGTAGTCCAGAAATAAATGCGAGGAAACATCATGATCATCATTTATGAACTGGAATATCCAACTCGAACAATATTCTGAAAAGTAACCCTTGTTTTAAAAGCAGCTGTAAAATATAGTTACTGTCACAGCTTACTAGTGGGAATTGTTTTAAAAGCAACAGTAAAATGGTTAACATCATTAGAAGAGTAATTAAACCAAATCAGAAGGAACTCATTCTCCTCTGGCTCATTGTGCACTGTTAATGAAGTACTTGTGACGCCATGCTGTCGTCTGATGGGTCGAAATACAGTTTCGGCCAAAATGTTTGCATATTTTGTAACAAATAAGATCATATGTATATATATAAACGCGAATATATATTAGGTCGTCAAGAAATTAATGTCGCTTTTTTAGATGAAATAACCCGAACAACGTATATATCAAAACAAAACATATATCAAATGAAATAGTTTACATTCTTATCGATGATGCTTTTCCATTTTACAGTCAGGTTGTTAATGCCATGATTAAAGAAATCACTCGGCTTTGAAGTAAACAACATGTCGATGTCCTCTTTAACACCTTCTACATTTGCATAGGTTTTCCTATTAAGATGGTGTTGGAGCGAATGAAAAAGACGGTAATCTGATGGTGCCATATCTGGAGAATATAATGGGTGAGGGAAAATTTCCCAACCCAAATCCATAATCTTGTGTTGCTTCAAACGTGCCACATGTGGACGTGCATTGTCGTGGAGAAAAAGAACACTTTTCTGATCAAGGGCTTGATTTAAACGTTCCAGTTGCGACTACAGATCTCTGCATTGATAGTTCGCTATAGATTGAGTAGTTCGAAATGAATTACTCCTTTGATGTCCCACCAAATGCAAAGCATCACTTTCTGCGAACGGAGTCCAGGTTTTGGGGTCGGAAGTGGTTTTAGTCTAGAACTGAATCATTGTTTTTTGCGTTAAATATTTGCATAGAGAATCCATTTTTCATTATCAGTGACAATTCCGTCCAAAAATGGTTCACGCGCATTAAGCGCCAGAAGAGACGAAACAACGTTCACACGTTG